AACAACGTGACGTACGGAAACCTCAAATAATCTGCCTCATTTGAACTGTTTATTCATCAAAGACTCTCAAAAATCAATTAAATAAATAAAAAATTTATAAAAATGTATTTCAAGGCGTTTACATGGGATATATACTTCATTTTCGTATAGGGGAGCCAACTTGCCCGACCCTGGGGCCAACTTGCCCCATGGCGGGGCAAGTTGGCCCCCCTAACGTCAACTGCGTTTTTTTGTCAAATTGTGAGCCACCTGGCATTATATTTTAAAAATAATGACGTTGCATACGTAGCTTAGTTCATGGGGCTTACTTTGAAACCGGTTTTATTACTCTAACCCACTCCTAGTTGGCTCTACAAGGCCAAAAGTGTCTAACTGGGCCAACTAGCCCCGGTCTCCCCTATGGGAACCCAGTCTTAGAAGGCCTACTACAATGCAAACTGGAAATAAATTCACTGCTAGCGGAAAGATTTATAAATGGACAGGTGATCTTGCAACTTCGTCATCAAAATGATCTGGTCCTTCTAGCTTTCCAAAGTATCATCAACTAAATAAATTCCTTTGTTCGTGTATCCGTCATATCAATTTTGTGTTGTGAACTTACTAAATTAGTTTAGAGATTTTTAAAAGTACAGAAATGCAGTATTAATAGCAAACTGTTAATACATTTCGAAATCAAAAAAGAAACAAGTCTTTCCAAAGATTAAAGAAATTTTATCTCGACATTTAAAAAAAAGCATTTTGTTGAGTGGGAGACGTAGGGTACGTGAGGAAATTTCCCTCTCTGGCAATGTTGACAGGTATGAGCACACACAATTAGCTCAAATATTCATAACTAAAATGCAACTGGATAATGGAAAGAAATGCACGTTTTTTGTTCTCTCTCAGTAATTTTCGCACTCTATCAGAATCAGAATCAGTTTTCAAATTGTCAATATTGTAGCTTTAAAAATACCTATGGTTAATAACGCTGAATTTTTGTTATCGTCAGACTACAATATTTTTATTCTAATCAATAGAAGTACTAAATTGTCATTAAAAAAGTCGCCCATAAACTAATCAATTTGAATTGATGTATTTCAACATGAGCATCTACGCCTTGTAAGGTCTACAACCGCTTAAAAAGGGTGTTGAAAACATTAATGTTACGTTCAGCCTTTCTCAATTTTTTCAATAGTTCAGTTCTTCTTTCCCAGACCTTCCAAACCAACTTCTAAAACAACTTTTGAAAACCTACCTGGCTGTCGTCAAACTCACTCATGCTTGATACTACCCGACAATCACACCGTCCATCAACCGATCTTGCGAAGCAAACAGCCGCAACGAGGAAAAAGACGACTTTCATTTTCTCACTTTTCATTTACGTTGTAAATGCTAAAAGTGTGCTGAGCACAGGCGGTTACACGATTTATATAAAAAATGCATCCAAAGGTCATAAGACACATATAATATATTCACCACATTCAACTAAAATAGATTGCCCTCATATTAAATTATATCTGTCATTTTCCACACAATCGGCTATTCTAGCTTCATAAATTGCCCTCTTTTTAGACAAATCACGCATATGTAATTAAAACATAGATAAAAAACGCATTTAATACCTAAATGCCGTAGCATGAACATATAACGCGTGTGTGAGTGTATGTGCTTGTAAGGATAGAACATCTCATTCCCGGTCAACAGAGTTTTCATAATGCTGTACATCTACGTAGTTTTTTCTTGTCTTTCGACAACAGACATCTGCAATGTAGGTACTCTTCATTATCTTGTTGTGCACTTTTTCAGTAATTAGTTTCTCAAGCCCCTCCCACTTTTTAATGTCCAAAATGAAATAAATAGAACTTATATAATGATACTTGTATCATTGAAACCCAAGAGGATAAAAACGATAAATGCAAAACTGACAAACTGTTGCATGACGTCATGCAATTAAAGCAAAAAAGAATTTAAGAGAAACCCCTTTATATTTTACCTTTTTAGAATAAGGTTGAAGTGTAGCCTGTCTTAAGAACGATCGTGCTTGTTAAATGCAAAAAGAAAACTTTTGAATTTGTAATATTTTGCCTTTGCAAATCAAAAGATTTCCACCACTTACATTTTTATGTTTAAAAATTATCGTTTTAAGAAAGTAAACAGACTGGTTTTGAAAGCATATACCCTTTTTCCAATTGGTATATACACACAATGAACAATAGAAGTGTCACCCCTACTGAACCAATACTTTGGGGGAGATATTTGACTGTGGAATGATATACTCCTGGTATCATTTTATTAACATCAAATTTCACAAAAAGACCAACAATACAATTCCATGGTACAGCTGTTTTATACTCATTAGTCACATTATAAGTAGACCAGGCATTATAACTTTGATAACTCTGATTCAGGGGGTGACACTTCTTTTGTCCAGTGTGTGTATATTGTTTCTGTACAGGGATGCAAGGTTAAGAAGACCCATATTGTTTCTAATATTTGAGAAAAGATAAGTTTTACTGTTTTTTTTTAATCATCTTCTGAGTTTATGTGCCTTAGTTCTGATGGTAAACGATTTCATTCCTGATTTTTCTCCGTATGTTTTGAGCCTTGCAACAGATAATAAACCAATAGATAGTAAACAGGAAGATAAAGTGGAAATCTGTAATTCACTAAACACGAATGCACATAAAAAGTTTTGTAAAAGTGGGAGAAATAAATTACTTTTTTCATTGAAGCACCGTTCCATTTTGCTTTAATGATGATGTAATGTGAATCGTAAGTAACTTATCACCATAGTAAACCATAAGGC